GCTGCTGCTGCTGTTGCTGCTGCTGCTGTTCGTTGACACAGCGTCGCGGCGCGATGTGCGGCACTGTATCCGAAGCAGCGCCCGCCGGTGCCGATGCGAAGCGAAGCGATGTGATGGCGGATGGGCGTAGGATGGCGTAGACGAAGGTGGAGCGAGAGCCGAGCATCCACGCTCACTTTCTTGCAATCACCTCGCCGACCGCATCAACGCGTGGAGCTGCCCTGCTGCTGCCCGCTGCTGCCTGCTGCTGCCTGCTGCCGACGTGAATCCAAAAATGCGACATCCGAGGCTCCATCAATCATCTTCCGGCCCCAACTACTGTAGGCTTCGGCTGCTGCTCTTTTGGTTGCTGTTGGAGGCCGAGGATTTTCGTTCGCGGTTGCGAGACGCGCGCGGTGTCTCCCCCACAGGGTTCAGCAGCAGCGTGGAATGCATGTGCCGCGCCGCGTCGAAGCTGGGCAAAAGAGAGAGGATGTTAGGCCTGGAGATGCGCCTCTTGAGCGGATGCGAGTCAAAATCGCTGCGGATGCGCCGATGCATTTGATTGCAAACAAGCTTGGCGAGGCAGCTCAAGCCAATACCGAGTCCGAAGCTTCTGAATCTGAGCTTAACCTTGCAAGAGCTTCAACGATGACACTATCGATCGAAGAAGATCGACTGGGGCGACTGGGGCGAAGTAATGGGCGAGGCTGGGAGAGGCTGAGCTGCGGCTGCCTTGCCCTGTGCCATTTTCACGTTGTCCGTCGCCGCCGCCGATATCGGGTGACGGCCGAGGCGCGTGTGCATTTTCTGGGAGCTTCGGTCGGACCGACCGACGAGCGACCGTCCGTGAATCGGCAAAGTGTGATGTGATGCCTCGGCTTGGCAGCCCACGCCCGACCAAAAGCGCTCCACCTCAATCACATCTCCACTCTCCACTCTTCTCCACCCCAACACCCACTCGTCTTCACTTCGTCTTCACCTCATCTCGCTCCATCTCGCTCCATCTCGGCTCAGCACCGCAACAACGCCTGCTGCCGTTCGCCTGGGACCCGGCGCGCTCTCTCACCGCACACTGCCCCGCCCAACATGCACCGCCATCCTTGAAGGCCTCCACACATCCCACACCTTGCCGGATCGTCCCCCTACCTCACGGTATCACGACTCCAACGGCCGTAGCTAGCTCGGCGGCATGCATTCCCAGCACCAGCTCCGATCTACTGCAGCGCATGCGCAACGCGACGCCTCCACCATGGACTCGCCCTTTATCGACGGCTTTCCACCTTCGTCGCCATCGCCTTCGCCCTCGCCTGCGTTGTCCGCCTGCTCCTACTCCTCTACCTCGAGCGCAGGCGACTATTCCGACTACGATCCGGATCTCAATGCCCTCTCTCTCGAGGCCATCGACGAACCTCAGTACCCCCTCGTCGATGCAGGCCTCACTCTTCCACGCAACCACACCCATCCCCCTGGCCTCGCAGACTCCTCGGACATCGACCCTCGCCAATCCGCCCTTGCCAGTGGCGCCGCCACTCCGGTCGCTTCCCAATCATCAAGGTCACTCCGCAACATGGACACGCCCAACGCCTCATCACCCTCATCCGTCGGCGCTGCTCTCTCTGCTTTCTCATCCCTCTACCTCTCACAGTCACACAGTCACGCAAACCCCGGCTCGGCCGCGCCATCCACTTCTACCTCAACCTACCACACCGCCGACACCGACCACTCTGCGCCCGACTCGGACGACGATCGCGCAGATCGCGACGCAGCCACCGATGGCTTCGATGCGCTCGATGTCGACGAGGAAGACATGCATGCCGAAGGCATCCCTGCCGCTCGTGGCTGGCGCCTCGACGCACGTCAGGCCGACACGCGTCACTTCCGTTCCAAGGTGATCGAACTCTTCTCCCACCAGCTTCAGCTTCAAGGATGGTCCCAAGACACGGTTCACCCTTCCCTCTGGCCCTTGCAGCCCGACCACCTTAACCTCAAACGCATCAGCGGCGCCTTCACAAACGCCGTCTTCTTCGCTAGCTACCAACCTGCCGATTCCTCCCACATCGCCCCCGTCGCGCCACCCACCGTCCTCCTCCGCGTCTACGGAGCCAGCTCAGAGGCCCTGCTCTCCCGACGCGCAGAGCTCCTCATCCTCCACACCTTATCCAGCCTCTACGAGATCGGTCCTCACATCCTCGGCACCTTTGCCAACGGACGCGTCGAAGAATTCTACGACTGCGATCCCATCCAGAAGGAGGGCATGCGCGACTTTGGCGACAGAGAGGCCTACATGCTCCCTGGTGGCAGCCTCGTCGTCAAGGGCCGCGAAGGCCGCGCACACTGGGTCGCGCGCCGCATGAACGAGCTTCACTCCGTCCCGCTCGAGGTCATGCGCACCGTGCTCGAACAGGGAAACCTGCATGGTCCCAGTCAAAAGGGCTTCGGAAGAGGAATCGAGAACCACATCATGGCAAGCTCACACCGCCCTCGCCGCAAGCATCGCTCCCGCCACACGCCCGCCCCGCTCGAAAAGGACGCGCCTTCTCCCAACGTGTATGGCCTCGACACTCGCGGCGTCATGCGTGCAAGCCCGGCTCCCATGGCCCCGGGCGAGCCCTCCTCTGCAGCCTCGATCGACATTCGCGCAGGCTCAGCTTATGCGCACCGCAACAGCTCCACCGTCTCGCTCGACTCGCTCGCAACAAGCTACAACTCGCAATCGAGCTTCTCCAGCGACAGTCCTTCCCTCACTGACGTCACCAGCCCAACTCTCTCCGCTTCTTCCGTCTCCGGCACCCCCAATCCCTACTTTCCTCCCATCGCGAACGGTCCAATGAGCCCCTTGGCCTTGGTCCCGCAAGGACGCACATCACAAAAACCCAAATCTTCGCGCGGGCCTTACCCAGGAGTCTGGCGCAGGCTCAAGCGATGGTCCCTCGAGGCTGCCAAGGTCATCGAGCTTGTCGATCGATTCGCAAAGTCGGACAGCGGCGCCAAAGCCATCGCCATGTGCTTCTCCGGCCATCCCTCCATCCGTCAAGAGCTCCAAGCAGACCCAAATGCGCTCTCCACCGCCACCATCGGTCCCACGCCGGGCAACTTGCGAAACTCGCTCCGCGCCATCCGCGCCATCGACCTGCCTTCGCTCTACCACCAAGTCGAAGAGTTCAAGCGCTTTGTCAGAAAGTGGGAGCGCAAGGAAGGACCTTCCCGCCGCGTCTTCGCACACAACGACGCGCAATACGGCAACTTGCTCGCCATCAAGCATTACAACGCCTCGACCGCACCTCCAGCCACCCAGACGGGTAACGGATCGCGCGATGCCAAGGCAATTCCGGCAGAGACGCCATCCATCCCGGCGGGCATGCCACGTCTCTTGTCGAACGGTGTCAGGCGCGACAGTATCGCCTCTGCTGCAGGCTCCCAGAGTCCCGAGTCGGTCCGCTCCAAGAGCCGAAGCCGCGCCAATCTCCGAAAGCCGGCTCCGCTCCACCATCGCATCGTAGTGATCGACTTCGAATACGCCAGCCCCAATCCGCGCGGCTACGACATCGCCAACCACTTCCAAGAATGGCGCGCCGACTACCACCACCCCACCCTCTCGTGGTCCCTCACACACCACGCCAGCTATCCTGATCAGGAGCAGCGCCGCAAGTGGCTGCGCGCCTATGTCGAGCAGGGAAGGCTGCTGCGCATGGGTGGACGCGCATCCAAAGGAGGTCCTGCAGCCATGGATGTGCCCGGTGACATGGTGCTGCCTCCTGCCGTAGCATCTTTGCAGTACCCGCCGTCCAACTCTGCCATTCACGGTCCCATCACCACAGAAAGACCCAGCGCGCCCGTAACACCCGGCACCGGCGCTGCCCAAGTGGCAGCTCTGGAGAAGTCCTTGGGTGATCGCAGCCGTCTCACGCCATCTCAGAGGACGCCGAACGAGTCCGGCGTGTCGGCCAAGTCTGCCAGCGGCTCATTGGCCGGCGCATTGCAACGCGAGGTAGACGGGCAGGCCTCCAGAGTGATTGGCCGACGAAGCAGCAACGACTCGATCTCGTCGTCGTCTTGGCAAGCACCGCCATCCGGGCCGCTGCGAGCCACCAACATCTCCGCTCCAAGCACCCCCGCTGGCTCGCTCGGGCCGATGTCGCCTCTGCTCGACGGCTCGGCCTCTCCGCAGGTGATGGCGCTTGCCTCGCTAGATGCCAGCATCGAGAGGGAGATCGACCGACTCGAGCGCGAGGTGGCCATCTGGAGTCCCGCAACCCACGCCGTCTGGGGCTTGTGGGGCATTGTGTTTGCCAAGGAAGAGCTCGAAGCCGTCCTCACCAAAGCCGCGGCAGAGGCCCGGGGCGAGCCTGTCAAGGAGACGGTGCTGTCCGAGACGAGCACCCTCAGCGTGCCATCCGCAGCCTGCTCCGAGACCTTTGACAACCTGAGATACGCGCTCGGTCGCATCGAGCTGTTCCGCCAAGAGTGGCAGCGCCTCAAGGAGATTGGCATCGACTCGATCTGAAGCTACGAGTCGTGGCCGTGGTCGTAGCAAAGGCACGACCACATGAGCGAATTGCGGTTTTTGTTAGGCTGCCATTCGCTCTTCATCGAGTAGATCTCGGAAATCGGAAGCGGCATTTTCCCCAGCATGCCGAGTGTCGCGCGCTAAGCTCCACATTTTGAAAGGCCATGTGAGCAGTCTTGCCCTGAGCGCCGAGTTCATACCCACCACCACCGCCTTCGCCTTCGCCCAGTCCCTTTCATCGCAGCAGCAATTGCTGCACTTCTGCATCGGTTCGGCCTGTCCGCAAAGGCACGGTGAAAGTGCCGCAAGCGTTGTGCAGCATGGACACCGCAGCGGCGCAGAATCTTGCGATCCGCAACCTTTACGCCAAGGTGGAGAAGGTCGGCGAAGGTACCTATGCTTCCGTCTTCCTCGCGCGCAACGTCAAGACGGGCCAAAGAGTGGCCATCAAGAAGATCAAGATCGTCTCCAACGAAAATGGCATGGACGTCACCGCTATTAGAGAGGTCAAGTTCCTCAAGGAGCTCAATCATCCCAACGTAATCAAGGTGCGTTGACCCAACAGGGAAGAAGCTCCGATGCTTCATCACGAAGTTGCCCTGGACAATGCTGACACTCGTTGCCTGTTCTGAAAGATGGTGGACGTGTTCTCTTCGGGCTCGGCCTCGCCTTCCCTCAACCTGGTGCTCGAGTTCCTAGACACGAACCTCGAGGCGCTCATCAAGGACAAGGCGCTCATCTTTACGCAAGCCGACATCAAGGGCTGGATGGCCATGCTGTGCCGTGGCATGGAGTACTGCCATCGCAACTGGGTGCTTCATCGCGATCTTAAGCCCAACAACTTGCTCATCTCGCCCGAGGGGGAGCTCAAGATTGCCGATTTCGGTCTGGCACGCGAGCACGGAGACCCGGGCGCCCGCATGACGCACCAAGTGGTCACACGCTGGTATCGTCCACCGGAACTGCTGCTTGGATCGCGCGCCTACTCTTCTGCCGTCGACATGTGGAGCGTCGGCTGCATCTTTGCCGAGCTCATGCTTCGCGTTCCGTACCTGCCCGGCGAGTCCGATGCCGACCAGATCACCACCATCTTCAAGGCGCTCGGCACTCCAACAGAGAAGGAGTGGCCCAGTCACAAGTCGCTCCCTGACTACAAGTCGTTCGAGCAGCATCCCAAGTCGAACCTCGCCGATCTCTTCCTGGCAGCGAGTCCTGAGGCGCTCGACTTCTTGCAAAGGACCCTGCTGTACGACCCGCTGAAGCGGCTCAGCGCGAATCAGTCGCTCCACCACGCGTA